AGTAAAAATAGGGGTTTTGTAGTGTAGACATATTCCAACACATGAATTTTCTGATAAGGTGGAATTCACTGACCTGAGCCAAACAAACATTTTAATATAAAATTTTCTATTCTCAAAATATACTAAAAATTTATATTTTTTTAGGCCTAATTATTCTTTAAGAAAGAAAATTTTTTATTGTACCCTTATATCTTCTCTTAAGTTCAGTTCAAAATTTTTAAAGGATTTTTATTTTCGGAGATATATCTCCGAACACACCAATTTTTTATTTTAACTACAGGTTAATTCGGAGATGTATTTACGAAGGGATTTTATGATATCTTCGCATATACATCTTAGAATTAATATTTTTTTAAATTCAAAAAAATATTTCAGAGATTCATCTCTAAACTAGGTGAACGTGTTTAGACTCATGTCAGACTCTCCCTCTTTTCTCTTTTGATTTTCAGAAAACAGATATTTTGTCTCTCGATCCTTCCTTCTACCCATTTTCAGTTCACACTCAATCTCAAGTTTTGAAGCAACTTCATATCTTTTGCTTGTATCATGTCATTCACAACTCCCTCTAACAACTGCATTCAACGGTTTACACCCTCATCAACATATTTTTGAGTAAATTTCTCATTTAACTTATTTTGAGTTTTTATTAATGCATTAGCTCAAATAGGTTAGTTTTAATGCATTAGATATCATTAACATTTGAAATAAGTTATGTGTAGGATATGTTTATATGATTTAGGAGATTTGGATGGTAAGGGCAATGGTAGAAATGTTTCTACCATGGAAATGAAAAAACGAAGCTTTTTCAGAGACGTATCTCTGAAAGGTGTTGTTTCTAGTGTTTAAAGACACATCTCCGAATTCTTTCTTTCTTCATGCACTAGTCTCTTTTGTTATGTTTTTTCAAGGCTAATGGCAGCAAACAACGACAGGATGAGACTCGACCGACCCACCATAACCGCGTCTACTCGTCGCAAGAGGCTCTTCAGCATGAGCAGGCTAGATTCGTCCCTATTCTTCACGATAGGGAAGCATCAACTTCTAAGAGTCGACTATCATAGGGGTCATCATCCCAGAGTCGTGCACACCATGAAGGTGAGGCCCCAGTTGCACAACATGCCCCACTTGTAGATCCTTTTTCAAGAGGGCCCACAAACATTTCATTACTGATATACTTTGGAGATCATGTGGCTCCGCATATCTGAGACAGAGAGGTATATTTCTTAATGATTCTATTTTTTTTATATTTTAACCAAATTTAATTCGAATGCGACTGTTATATTTTATTTTCAATAGGAACGTGCGTGTTTGAAATTTGTGAACCATGCCAGAAAGATTCACATTCTTTTTCAGGCTCAGGATGAATGGTTCCAAAGTGAACTCCGGACCTTCGGTCTTGCAGGTCTTTGTGCTTTTGGGTACAACATCATCAGCCATGTCATGGAGATGGTATTTGCTGAGAGATAGCATAATGAAACATTATCTTTCCACCTACATATTGGCGAGATGACGATTACATTAGATGACGTTGCTTTCCATATACACCTTCGCATCATAAGAAGATTGCTTGATCGTTCTAATATCACCAATGATGATGCAGTGGAGATGATGGTGATTTATTTGAGAGCTGACCCTGAAGAAGTCTTTCAGTAGTGTAAGAACACCAGGGTTGCATATGCCAAGTTTTCTTGGTTGACAAAGTTGTATAACGATAATTTAAAGATAGTCGAAGACCCGGATGCCGATGATCTACAGGTTGGCTACCACAGGGAGTATGCATTGAGGTACTTCTTCTTATTCTTGGTTGGGACGCCCATGTTTGTGGACAAAAGTGAAAATGACGCGGATGTGGATACCTCAAATATTTCATCGACTTGAAGGCCATTCACGAGTAGAACTATGGGGTCGCATACTTGGTATACCTGTACTCCAAGCCGAGCAAAGGTTCTCGTTGGACGACAAAGATAATGACAGGCTCATGCACCTTGCTTATGGTAATTTTCAAATCTCACTATTAAGTTAAAAACAACTTTTTTTCACACTTGTTAGTATTATTTTTTTATTATTCATTTTCAGGGATGTAACTTTTCCCACTATCACCGCATCCACATGTTTGGGTGTGACCCTGAGCATATCAAAGATTACCCACATGCTTGCATGTCCCTCCCGTGTAGAGGAAATGGTGTTGCGGTATCATTCCGTGTGTATATTGACCGAACTCAACATGATGACATCGTCTGGATGCCATACACTACTCACTGGGATGTAATTTCATTCTACCACATTTCATTGTACTCCAATTGGCTGGCATGTGAGACTAATATCATGTGCAGGTATCTGCGAGAGCGGTGCATGTGGTAGTTTCGATACATCATATCATTCTGAGGTCCCCCTTCCAGGTTGTTCCTAAGAGCATTGTCTGCAGACAGTTGGATGACATTCTGACAGATTTTGAGAGTCGTCTAGTACCAAAAGAGTATCAGAGTCAGGCAACCACATCTGAGTGATTTTATGTGGATGGTTACTTTACTTAGTTCTATTATATATCACACCCATACATGACACCAGACGCTCATGGGCATCCATCTAGTCCTGCTCATGAGGAGATCCTAGAGAATAAGCAGGCCTCAGATGATCATGCCATTAATGTATTACTGATTTGTCAGAATATTATGCGGATGATAAGAGATAGCATCGAGTCTAGGATGTTTGAGAGATATGGCGATGAAGCAGTTAATGTAGCATATTCCATTCTTACCGAGGTACAGAATGCCTTGGGTTATCGTAGGCATAGGAGGAGTCAGAGTGTTAGGATTATGCATACTTAATAGACTATGTATTTGATTGTATTTTGTATATTTTTCATCGACTTAGAGAATAATTTTTGTACTATGATAATTTTTCTAATTAATTAGCGCATTACTCGATTTTATGATATTCGTTTTTATTAATCTTTGAAACCATAACGACAATGTTAATCGAATTAAAATTAGTTTGGATTGAAAAAACTTCAATCTCAGTAAATTGTTTCTGTACGAAACATACAGGCAAGAATTCATAGATATATCTCTGAATTTGCTCCACACGTAGTTCGAAGATACATCTCCGAACTATTTTCTTTAGAAATGTGGTGGTTTTTCTTGATTTACAAAGGAAGAAATGTGACTTTGGAGATATATTTGCGAATTTATCCTTAGGTTTATTCAGAGATGCATCTTCGAACTAAATTTAAGAAGAAAAAAATATATTTAGTGCGTTCGAAAATGTATCTCCGAATATAACTAAGAGTATTTTGGAATTTTCAGAGATACATCCCATTGCATAAGAGTGTAAAGAAAATTTATCTTAAGAAAACATATTTTTTTTTCTGAGACCCAAAATATATTCAGAGAAAGGCCTTGCCTGCCTTACCCTTGAGGCGGCCTTGGAGAAGGGTTTTCTGCTTGAGTTGATGTTGCAATATTGTAGGTGCTAAAATCCTTATCTTTATGGTGTGTGTACTTTGTTTTTGATTTCAAGGTTGATGGTCATCAAATTTTGTTTGTTTAGGTCAAAATCTCTAAGTGTGTTAGGTGGAGAGAAGTGTGAAGAGAGAAAGAAGTGAAAGAGAATGTGTGAAGAAGGAAGTAGGTGAGAAATAGAGTAGATTTTGTATATTGTTTGATATAGATAAAGTAGAAGAGAAATAAGTATTTTTTATTTTTGGAATGACAAAAATATCCGTTACTTAAAAATATTCAATTTTATTTAACTTATATATTTATATAGGATAAAAAATTATTTAAATTTTAACTTTATCAATATCAAACTAAATATAGGTAATCAATCAAATTTTATCTAACTTATATATTTAAAACAGAAAACTAAAAATCAAGTAATTAAATTTAAATTTACTTATATTTTTTAATAATATAATATAGTTAAATAATATTAATATATTCATGTCAATATAAAATTAATCAGATTATTTAATTTATTTTATATTTTTTCCTACTATTTGCTTTTAGTTGTTTTTATTTAAAAATTATTAATTATTAACAATTTAAGTAAACAATAAAAAATTAGGGAAGAAACTTTGTAGAATAAAGATTAAAATAAACATTAAAGACATAAGCTTTTTCCATGTAACCACAGTATTGTTTTTCATTTATAAAAAAATTAAAATAAACACAAAATCTTAGTTGAGTCTTCTCGCAAATATATTAAGTAGAAATAATTGAAACTTTGAACCTAATACAACGTTGCTGCAAATCTTGAGTGCATCAATGATCAATATATTATTATATATAATTCTCATTTAAAATATATATGTATTTAAATGTTAAGAAAGCAACAAACATTACTTATATGATAAAAGAATGAGTAAGAACGTAACATGCAGGGGTAATTAAAGGAAAAACGAAAAAATGTCCTCTTTTTTTATGCTTTCTTCGCTGTATAGAAGAGAAATTATTACATGTAATGGTGTGTAAAAAAAATCACACATAAAAAAATTATATTTAAGTTTTCTCTTCCTTAATATAAAAAATATTAGTTTTTTACATATTAGTCGGTTACAAATTCAAATACCAAATTTACAAAAGAAAAAGAAGAAAAAATATTTTTAATTAGATTTAAATTTAGTTTTGAATTTTCCGAAATTTAAAAGATGTATACAACTAGTACCTATCTTCAATATGCTTTTTCAAATTTCAAAAGATTGAAACGAACCAGGTAATATAAACACTATCAACCCAGAGATAATTTAAAATATTTAATTTTGATATTAAGAGAAAAACAACGGAGAATCGAAACTAAAACAAAATAAAATAACAATTATACAAAATTCTGAAACTAAAATCAAACTTTTATTAAACTAATATTAACACATGAAATAGCAACAACGAAGGAAGCGAAAGTTGAATTCCCGAATCCCCACCCACCCAAATAACCCGAAAAAGATTCGGATCACCCGACCCATACAATCAAATCCGAAATTACAATAATACCCTTCAGAGCTTTCAGATCTTGTTCAACTTCTCTCCCTTCACGACCGGATTCGCCTTCTTGATCTGCTCTCTCCCCATCCCCTTAAAATCGAACCCACACCCGTGTTGCTCCGGATACCTATGGGACCCACACAGCGTCAACCCACACCTGCACTTGAATCCCGTCAGCCCCACGCGCCGCCTACAACAACCACACCGATTCGGATTCGGATTCGGATTCGCCTGCCCCGATGTTCCAACAACAGTCTCCACCACCGCCGCCGGCAAAGACTCAACCGCCTCCTGAGAAGAAGGTTGAACAACAACAACCTCCTGAGAAACCACCGAAACCACCGCTTGAGGAGGAATTAGCGTTTGATTGAGAACCAGTTTCGCCGACGAAGATCGCTGTTCCTTGACCTGCAAATCACGGTAACATTTAGAACAGAGATCCTGCATAGCCGGACTCCCGAAGAAACCGCAGTTGTTCGCACAGAGACGCGGAGCTTGGCAACGATGTTCTTCCGCCATTGAAAACAAATCTACAAAATAGGTTCGAATGTGAAGAATTAAGATTTTCCCTTTCCTTTTCCTTTTCCTTTGAGAAAGAAAAAGGGAAAATCGAAATATGCTCAGTGGAAAGGAGAAGAAAGAGAAGGAATGGAAAGAAATTAAGATTGGAATGAGTTAATAATAGAAAAGGGAAAGAAAAGCACCTCCACAAAAAAGAATTAACAAACACGGTAACGTCGGTTTCTTAATGGTTTTCTCTTTGTAAACCAGAATGTTCTAGTCTAAACATATACACCTACTACGCTAATATATTAATAATATATATATATAGATTTTTTTTATGGAGTTGTAACGTTTTTTACGGCATGAAGATTTGGGTTTTTAATTCATAATTATTTTATTTGATTTGATTTGGCATGCGTGTAGTACTACCGTCCGATAATAAATGATTCAATATATTATTTCATATATGTTTAAAAAAATTTAAAAATTAAGAGATAATATTTTTACTATAATATATTCAATAATATATTAAAATGATAAAAGTTTAATTAATTAAAAAATAAAATTAAAAAAATATATTATAAATTAAAATAAATCATTTATTTAAGATATTATTTTATTATAAATGAATCATTCATTATAGAAGAAAGTAATAAAATTTAGTTAAAAAATCTAGAATTTCAAGAAATTATTATTTTTAAATGAAAAGATTTTTTAGATAAAATTTAATGTATAAAGAATACACGAAGATTGTTACTCTTTTTGTCCCATATTATTTGTCGTAATTGAACATTTCACATATACATTAAGAAATAATAATAAATAAAAGATGAAGAATAATAACTTTATCAAATTATTTTGATTAATTTTGATGTATTCAAATTAATATTAATGTTAAGTTAGAAAATAATAAATTTAAAATATTTATTAAAAAATATAATTGAAAGATTAAATATAAAATTGCATTGATAATTTAAAGTGATAAATATTTGAAGACAATTTTTTTTAAATGTGATATTTATTTTAGGACGCACATCCTTTTTAATATTCTTATAACACTTTCCTATAAAAGTTTAGCATCGATAATTTTCTTCTATTTTAAATATAATAATATATTTAACAGATTAATTAATATATTTTGTTAGGGTAAATTTTTACACAATTAGTGGATCACAACCACTTATAAATATTATTTTATAAATAATTAAAATAAAAATCAAATCTCAATAAATATTTAATGATTACGATTTACTGACAATATAAAACTATTTTACACTGTCAATACATACCAATTAAATTTTTTATTTAATATAAATGATACTAATATCATTTAATATGTGATTTTTTTTATATATTATAAAACTAATATGATATTGTAATACGGTGGGAGAACTGACTTTTTGGTTTTATCCAAATATGCAGATAGTTAGAGTCGCCGCCGACTTTTCTTTTATCGAATATTTAGAAAATGTGAAAAGAACAAGAAATACCTTTGATAGATTTTGAGTTCGGGGTAAGATATGAAAAAAAAGGTGTTAGCATCCTTTCCATCCGTAGTTATCTACGGACTCTTAATTACTTAACTCACTTTTGAAAATCTTGTTTTGTATGTCTGATTTGCTTGAAAATATTTTGAAATCGCCAATGTAAGGCTGGCTTTGTAATAATTCTTGTATCAGTCCTCAAGAATGTATACAAAGTGTTATTTTTGAAAACATGTTTGAAAGTGTAGTGTAAAAAAAGTTTTGAGAAAAGTTATGATTAAACAATTAAGAGTTTCTTACCCACTAAAGTCTTTCTTATTCTTTTTCTTCTCCTTTAAAGATAGTACTATCCACACCATTAGTTGGTAGGTAGCCTTATCTATTGGATGTGAATGAACATGCGTAGGGTCATCGTATGATCATCGAAGACAACATGTAAGGATACATTAGCAATTGTATGGAAGGGATTATCATCATTTTGTAGGCAACTCGAAGTTACTAGATCATTTTGTAGGCAGCTCGAAGGGATATTGAGGGAGCATGATCTTTATTCGAAAGGGACATGATGATTTGATCGAGGGTCTTTTGCTAAAGTATCCTCACTTTCGAGGGACATGACAATATTCGTAAGGCAACAAGAGAGGATACCTTAGAGGTGCAAGTGTGAAGAGTGTTTGTTTTCAGTTATTTTTCTTGAGAATTAGGGTTTTCTAGGTTCAATTATTAGTCTTGTCATACAAACTGTAGTTACTAGCAGTTAAATATGTATAGAAAAATAAAGTGCGGAATGTAAAGTCCTAAGCTATTACATGGCTTTGGGAGAGGCACATAAGTATAAAAATTCGCGAGAAAGTAAACCTACACTATTACATCATGTGAGCAGTTACATACTTAGGAAAAAATACGAGAAAATAAATCTACGTTATTACATTAGAGAGTGAGTCCTATGCAATTTGATCTATGAATTTAGATGAAAAAAAGAAATAAGAAAATGCCTCAAGGAAAAAAGTTTGAAAGACCTAAAGTTCTAAGTGTTAATGTTTGGTATTTTATGGAAAATAATTTAAGTGATAATAATTAATAAAACCTAAATTCTAATTGATTTTAATGTTTAAGAAAAAAAGAGTGATTAATTAATTAATTAATTTAGTAAATAAAAAATACTAACTAAAACCTTAATCCTAATTTATTAATGTTAAGGAAAAAATTAGGTTAGTTTAATGAATAATTAAAAAAAACAATTAGGGTTAGAAGAGAAAAAGAAAAGAAATTAGGTTAAAAAATTGGGAAAAAAGGATTTGCATGGGATGGGTGTTGAACCCATGCCCCCTGACTTTCCCACTGCACAGCTTGCCACTAGGCCAATCGCCTGTTGGTGTTTGGAAATAGGAATTGAATAATATATTTGAAACCTGCACATTAGTTCGGAAAAAACAAAAAAAAAATTGCAAAACGCAGGGATCGAACCCACACCCTTCACGTACATGCCTTCGCCTTAACCAACTGCAATGTGTTTCAACTCTGTCATACAATACAAACCATTAAATATATTATAAACCAGTGGACTGGAAAAGCGCCAGAGCCCTAGCTCCGGTCGTCTTCTCCGGCGAGATCATTTTTTTACCTGCAAAAATAGCGCGCGTTAGAGATCAAGAAGGACCCTATCCCCCTAATTCGACCTGTACAGGGAGATACGAACAAAATAAAGCAAAACGGTGCAATAATGGTGATGGAATGTTCTGGCATCATGGGCCTCATGTAAGGGATGAAACATGCGTTATTTCGTCTCAGGAACACAATGAAATTGTTAGTTTAAATCAACGCATCATAAAAATCAAAGTATGAATTTCACATAAAATGCAAAACGGGCGATGCTAGGAATGCATGTTTCAGGCACCTTTGATCATCAAGAATGATCCAAACTTATTCTATGATACCTCAGGAATGATTTGCAATGGTCACCTAGCCTTGAGAATGGATGAAAGTTGGATTTCGATTTCAACATTTCCTTGCAAATTTTGACCTCCAAATCCTTGTTTCTTGAGCACTTTTTTCGTGTCTTTTTTTTGTCTGAAAGTATAGTGTACTTATAGGAGAAAAGATTTGGTTAAGAGATGTGCTTGAACATCATGTGAAATATATCTTTGATTTTGTTTGAAAATAGATTAAATTAATACAAAAACATGAAGATTTTATTCTCAAATAGGTCTACATGGTTTGTAGTGTGACCTTGGCCTCTAAAAAAAATTAGATCACAAGCCTTTTATGCCTTATACATTCACTTAATATTTATAATGAGTCTTCGCTCGATTGTATCTGAGATCCGTATTAGAATGAGTCTACGCATGAATGTATCTAAAAGATGTACCAGAATAAATATCAGAATGCATATATATATATATATATATATATATATATATATATATATATATATATATATATATATATATATATATATATATATATATATATATATATATATATATATATATATATATATATATATATATATATATATATATATATTGATCATATCTGAATTGTATCTAGAACATGTACTGGAATGAGTATCGGAATGAATCTATATCTTGATCATATCTGAACTATATCTAGAAGATGTATTGGAATGAGTTTACTCCTGACTGTATCTAAAGGTGTATCAGAATGAATCATTGGCTAATTGTATATGAAGGATGATAAAATGTTGACAATATTTATCTGTTTGTGAACTAACCTGGAAAAAAAGTTAGATTTATGCAATGTCATGATGTATATGTATTGCGTAATAATGCTCTCAAAATAATTGAGAATACTATATGCGTTTCGTATGCATATGATATGATATTTTGTAAATGATGTATGGGTGCAATATGATGCTGGAACGTATTGGTAGTTGTTTACCTAGGGATTTGGTAAACAACCGCTGATCCTCCAAATGGTTACTTATTTGGTTACTCGCAGGATCGATCAGATTGATCCTATGGACATAGGTTGATTTTGAAATTTAATTAAGTTGGATAAGGCTTTAAGTAAATTGTTTAAAGTAAATTGCATAAAGGAAAGGCTTGGTAAAATAAACAAGACTTGAATGTAAAGGTTCGACAGGAATTTTAAAGGGAAAAAGCAAGTAAAATACTGGAAAAGTAAATGACTTGAATTGATTAAATTGGTGTTTCACACATACATTTCTCAACAATTCGTTCGCTCACACTGGGTATTTGAATCTAAATGAGTGACTATGTATTTATTGTGAACACACGCGAGAAACTACACGTCTACTCCTATTTATACAAAAACATTCCAAGTAACCGTCGGGCAGTTACACTGCTTCGAGATCAAGCCACTTGTCACGTTCTCCATGCTCGACGCTCCAGATCCTTGCACGTTTGCACGTAGTAACTGCTGGAAACCGTTTTCCCTCCAAAGCTTTGAATTTCAAACTGCTCCACTCTGGACCATCGAACACGTTCGTCAAGAGACGTCTTCGACGAAAACTCCTTCGACGTCGAAGGCAATCAGCCTTCTTCCTTG